AGCGCTGGCGCCGCACCCACCTGCGGGACTACCCCGAGGCCATCGGCGGGCGGTGGTTCGCCATCGACGATATGCAGCTCGACGTCGACCCCCGCATGGCCGGGCACTTCGTCAAGACCGACACGGAGGTCGGCCTCACCGACGCGAGCGTCGGCCAGGCCCAGGCGATTCTGGCGGCGCTGCCGGACCACGAAACGGCCCTGCGCCGCGCGCAATACGCGCTGGCCGATCCCGAGATTAAAGATGAGGAAATTGCAATCTTAACCATCCAACGCGATCAGCTTCAGGCAAAAGCGAATGCGCTCGAAGCGTCTTTGAAAGCCCAACAAGCGGAACTTGAAAGTCTCGCGACGACCCGGCAAAAGATGGAGCGTGAACTGAAAGATCGTAGGGCGAAGATGGAGGATATGGAGTATCGGCTCGCCCTGGCTGAGTTTTCGAAGAAAAATAACCTTCTTAGCGAAGCGCTGGCATTTGCCGCCACCACATCTGGCAAAGAACGCAAAGAGGTGGATGCTAGGATTAAATCGTTGGTTACTCTTTTACGTTCAAAGAAGGAGGTCGAAAAGACTATAAAATCTGAGAATCGAAAGACCAGGAAAATATCTGTAGAAGCTACTTGACCACAAAATCATAGCGAAAAAATGAACACGAATTTTGAAACACAACCTATTCCATCCCCTGCATTGTGTTCTGCGATATCGATTGTAATGTTAATACATACATTTATATTTATATATTTATATTTATATTTATATTTATAGTACAAATATGATGGGAGTGAAATGGAGAAAGAAGAGGGCTATTATTCTATTCACACTTCGATGTCTAAATATTCAAATCCTCTTTAATTTCTATTCACCAATTAGGAAGCTGGAAAGGTGAATGCGTGCTTGAATTTATTTACACACAATAACTTGAATTCGATAAAGAGTAAAAATTTCCTGTACATCCCTCAGTCTATGTCAATCCGTATCTCTATTACCTAAATTTTCTAGATGCTTTTTCCACGTTCTTATTCCTGTGAACCATCCAAGTGAACGAACCACTAGACCGGGTTTCCACAGCCGATATACCGATAGATATTCTCGAAGTTGCGTTTCCATAGAGAACAGCGAATGCCACTGTTTAAAAGGGGGTCCGGGACTCTTCACGGCTTCACCCCACCAGCGCCCTCCGCGACCGGTGAAGGCCGCAAGGATGCCCCC